CAATGTTTCACATTTTACATAACCTTGAGGCCTTACAGATTTATATTCAAGAGATTGCTGAATATATCTCATGGCCCTATAAATAAATAAAAAACATTATTATTTTTGATATTGGTATATTTTTATGATCTTTGTCTTGTGGTAAATAAATTATAATATTAAGTACTTTTTCCCATTCTATGTTCATTGTTGTCATGGGCATATCTAGAGGGATGTCCAGACATGGCGTCCAGGCATGGCATGAACCCCCTTGAAATCTTATTGTCCAGCCGAAAATTCCAAACTATGATTGGCCATTTGCCCTGTCAGAGGTGGGAAATTTCTATGATTCCATTCTCCAATATTACATTAAAGGCTTTATATGCGATTTTTCACACTTAAATGTAATAAATTCAAGTATATCCTCTGAAAATAACTCTGAGTCATGACTGTCTACAATGGATGTAACACCCGAGTCCCACTGTCTGTGATGTTTTCCGAGTTTTCCGAGTCCTATCTTCAGTTTGTTTACATCGCCAGGACGGTCGGCTGGCTAACTCCTCCCCTCGTGTATAAAAGTTGTTTAATTGAGTGACTAGAGAAAAGAAGAATAACATACTGTACTCACTGCTTAACTGTGTTTCTAGATCACGATCATTTTGGGTAAATTTACATGCAGTGTGAAGATACGAGCATAATAAATATCACTAGCATTAGCATGCTAACACAACAATGCAGCGCGAGTTGTTTTGGTTTCATGCTGGTGTTCAAGGGCGACATCTGCTGGACCACTTATGAAGCCTTTAAAGAAGATATCATTAATAGAGATAAAAAAAAAGCATCAGCCAGTGCCTCAGTTGGGCCACCCCAGTCAAAAAAGTCTGGACATGCCCCTGATCGTTGTGTTCCAAAATACAAGAAAAGTCCTTTGAACAACTCCCTCTGTAAGAAGTTTGAACACTGCCAACACCTTAATCACTTAAATCTAGCTGTTGAAGTTGGCCTTTGTGTAGTGCCTGTTTCATGTTTGGAGAGTCTCCTGTCCCCAAGAGTGAGGCACAATGTGTGAAGAGGATACATGACCAGCCCCTGGATAGTAAATCATTATTTTAAGAGACAACTGTCTATACGATGGTGTTGTATAGATCCCTATTTAATTACCTTACTATCTGAAAAGTGTACGTTTTCAAATAATAAGACTGAGAAGAAAATATATAAATTCTAAAATAATTAATTTTGACTTTACCTTTCATTCCATTTATGTTTATGAAAGACACCCTGGTTAGACAAACAAACCATTTAATTTTTTTCTCATTTAATCTGATGTTTTATCAAGATTTTTTTTGAGATTCTTGAAAAATCAACAACAGTCTACAAACAAAAACTAAGAATTTGAAGGAAACGATTTTGTGATTTCTTTTGGTCTACACCTCTTTTCTTATCACAATATTCTTCATTTATTGTTCTGTGGTAACAATCTGTTTTGCAGGAAGTTAAAAAAATGGACAGGGTTCAAAACCTCATCTGGTCAGATGGGGGCACTATACATACATATGAAACATCTGTTTTTGGAGGGGGGTTTCATGGTATTTTATCAAGAAGTTAACTTTGTTTCCATTTCACCAATAGATTACCATGAACCGTTAATTTATTTATATTAAAAAAAACTGGTTAACTTCGCACACATTGGACAGCTAGATTGGTGCTCTTGGTGTTTTTATAGTGGTGTGGATTCATTTACATCGGAGCCACTTAAAAACCTGGTTCAGCTAAACCAGGCGTATATTCCCTTGTGTGTCTGTATGAGAAGCGACGGAACAAGTGGCTGTATTTGCTGACATTGGAATTGGAAAGATTTGGCTTTGTCAAACTGGTTTTACATTTGCTAGGCACATTAAATCCCACCTAAAGAATGAACTCACTGCACTTTAATACAGCGTTACCTATAAGTACAAGTGAAAATAAAAATCAAAGAAAGAAATCTCATCATTTAGAAATGCTTTATTTAGTTTCTGAAAAGTCAAGGAGATACTCCAAAAATGACAACTTTTGTTATAGCTTCTACCAAACTTATCATGGCTGCCTATAGCTTTCAGTTGGCTTTCTCTTTGGTTTGGCAGGATCATCAGGACTCAGTGTGAGAGATATGAGATGTGAACTGAATGTGCTGTATGGGTGGGGTCAGCCCTATGTTCCCACAGCCCAATGGTCCCACAGCCCAATGGTCCCACAGCCCAAGGTTCCCACATGCCAACCCGGCTTTCCAGAGGTATTGATGCACTGCAAACTATGGTTTGCGTCCAGTTGCTGCAGCTAGTCAATGCGAGGCCTCTGTGCTACTTAGTTTAGTTTGTTTATTTAAAAGGACAACTGTTTGCAATAAACAAAGAGATGGGCGCACCAGATTTAGCTAAGAGCTACATTCCATCTGTAATCCATTGCTACTGGATAATAGGTTGGGTGTAATTGGCTACCAAATTGGGAGAAAGGGGGGTAAAATACAAATTTATGAAAAAGGAAATGTGGGAACATATGGCTGTGGGAATATAGGCATGCTCCCATATGGTTTTGCCCTACACATCAAAACTGTGAGGAAAGGAAGCTGAATAAACAGCATTTGACCAGGCTAATGATTAAGATACTGTATGCAAGTTTTGTTGATTCTTTCTTGTTAATGAAAACATGTCAATTCCATGAAACATCATGTGATATATTGTTTACAAATTAAAAAGTATTTTAGCCTTGCGCCATTCTCACTAAAAACTGGAAGCTGCCATTGCAGTATCTGAGTGAGTTCATAATCCAGGAGGAGGTACCTTTTGTTATTTTGAACCACCTAATCCTCATATCTGTTGTACCACAGCCAGACCTCTGGGACGAACTTTACCCTTTCCAGTTATCAAACATCATATCCTGTATGTTTTGTTTTGTTTGAATGTTGAATAGTTAACTTAACAGTGTTTTAGTGTTTCTGTGAAAGAGCAGGGAAGAGAGAATCGCTGCATTTTTGACTGTTGGAGAAAGTGGACTCTTTTTCACAACGTAGTTCTGCGAAAGCTTTATGGCGGGTTCACAGCATCGTAACACAAACAAAACTAAAAAAAAATGGCTTGAAAGAAGAAACGCAAACTATCTAATATTCAGGGATTAGCTGTGCCAGAGAAAGCCACACACTCATGCAGAGAAGAATATAAAAATGCTCACATCTACCTGTAGATGGACTTATCGATTAAAGCTTTATTTTACTCTAGACGTTATCAGTTTTGGCAATCAAGGAGCCATGTGTCGGAGTCTTTGACTTGTTGTACTTCCTGCAAATAAGTAACTAGCCTCCCTCTCCCTAAAGTCACTGTACTTGTTTATCTCCTTTCTCATGCATTGGGGGAGGATGTGCACTTCTGTTACAGTCGGTAAAGAGTCCGACTGTAGAAGTGGTTCTGGTAGCTGTCTCTATCATCACACGGTCACCGTCATCGCTGTCATTGTCAAAGTAATAGTCGTATTTCATATTTTGACCTATTGCGCCCTCAGCTGAGCATGAGTGTGCGGTGTGTCCCGCTCTGTTTATATGAATTAGCCTACCATTTCATGTTGGTTTATACTTTTCTTGTTTCCAATTAAAACAGTTTTGATGGAGAGAGCTGTACGTGTGCAGGATTTAACAGCAGCTCAAATGTGTGCAGCACATATTTCCCCCTCTGAGAAAAAGAAATGTATAAAGGCCAATATCAGTGGCCTTCGACGAACTGATCATGTTGATCTGGGGTGAGAGGGCAGAAGATGCGTTAGCGATCTTTGATGTGCAGTTTCTCCTTATCTTATGTAACGTTCTGATTTTCTTACACAAACTAAAGACAAGAGGCTAACGGCAACAATCACATGCTAATCAAAATGTAACATCGCCTGCATCTTGTTCAGAGCACATTTTTTAAACAAGGAGCAAAAGATTCTGATCTGCTCCTAAGGTGTTTTTACACAGCTGCCCTGTGTCAATGAAGCATAAAAATAAATCATATTGATCATCAGGCTGTTACATGGATTTCTATTTTCTGTGCGTGCTGCCTTTCTGCATGTAGTGTTCTCCAAACATAAATCCTCTAACATGTGAAGAGTAGCCTAGCTGGGTTATAGTTCACACCTTCAGATTTCAAGAGACTTGCCTAGCCTTCAGGCTTTTTTTTTTTTAATTTCAGCTTAGCACTGCAGACTTTGTCTCATGTGCAACAGTGTATGAGAGCAGGAAGAAAAAGCACACAATGCAAGTGAGAGCACAGAACTACTCGCTATATGAGGAGGACTATGAGGTATGGACGTACATCCTGCATGGGGACAAGCCATGACAGCCTACAGTCGCTGAAAGGGGGAATCAATGAGAACAGGGACACTTCAATGCTTTAAGAAGAAAAAAAGCCCCCCCCCAAAAAAAAAAAAAACAAACGGCTCGCCCTCTATTGGCCTCCTTGGGAACTGCAAGTTTCATACACACAAGTGATTCAACAAAATGGCTGACATATCTTTATGCTGTATAATGTCTGAGGGCTGCTCATAGCAACAACAAAAAAAAACTACAACATGTGGCTCATCTAATGAATTAGATTTTTCAGAAGGCTAAGAATGACAATGTGTGTACACTTTTTTTTAAATCTTGTTTTGAGAGCAAACTACAAAAAAAAAATATATATGAATCATTAGGCTATTAATTAATTTAATGATCTAATTACTTTTGCCTCACTTACTGGACAGTTTTCTTGGTAGTGTTTGCCATTTTTAAATACCTTTTTAAGCTATTTAATGGAGCAGATATAGTCAAACATATTTAAAGTGATTGAACACACACTGCCCCTAATGCTTCACCTACAAATATAAAATGACACCACTGTCTTTTGTCCAGTTTGGAGACAATTTCAGGCTGTTCTCTTGACTCCTCCTCCTCCTCCACATATCCCCTCCCCCTTCCAACCCCCCCATTTTCTGTCTCTCGCGGGCAAAAATCACACCCCCCCCCTCCTCCCACCCCCTCTTTCCCATGCTAATGCTCTGCTCGCTGTTGTCCCTTTTCCAACCGTCTGCTCTGTGCGGTAGTTTTTTTTTTTCCCCCCACACTGCTTTCCGGTCACTCCATGTAGAGGTGCTGCTGCTCTACCGACGACTCACCAACACGGCGACGGTACGACCGGGAGCTTTGTCATACCTACCTTTTGGCTTCTAACCTCAACACCAGCAGCCCAGGTGAGAGACTTAAAAAGAAGACACTCAAGAGAACCAAAAACCAACACCGAGACTTGTCTACCTACCGGCGTCAAACGGGGTTGGCGTTTGCTCACGGTGGGTTTTTTTTTTTCCACCACGGAAAAGAGGAGGAGTCTGTTCGGTCGCGAAGGAGGAGACCAGTCGATCGGATTCCACGGTCGCTCGGTTACACGGTTATTGTGGCTCAGCACTGTAGTTGTTGTTTTTTTTTTTTTTTTTAACAACCCCCGTTGTCTTGTTGTAAACCTGCTGGATTGATACCACATCCTCACCGCAACATCTGTACTCAGAAAAAAAAAGTGTCCGGAAGAGTTTCGCCGGACCCAGAAAGGAGCCTTACCCACACAGCGACATCGAAACTCGCGGGAACAGCGGGCGGTGACGCGGTGACGCGGTGAGTTGAGGTACTGCAGCTAGCATGCTAGTCGAGCAGTTTTTTTTCTTTTTTTTTTTCTTCTATTTATTTATGTACTGCCAATTAATTAAACATTGAACATTGGGTTTATTAATGAATTATTTTGGAATATATAGCTTTTTTTTTTTATTCACAATTTTGTCATGTCGAAGACACATTTTGGTTTACGCTGAGCTCCAACAGGTTGGCGCTGTGGCGGGATGTGACTTCAGCTAGCACTTGCTTACATTCTTGCTTTATTTCAATATAACAATTTTTTTTTTTTATTATGACAGCATTTTTCTTTGTTTTTGTCCTCTTTAGAATTTTTTAAATTTTTTTTAAATATTTTTTTGTGCGTCACAAACGCTTCAATACAATTACTAATTAGCTATTGGATTTTAATTCTTAACTTCAATTCATCCATTTTGAAATACGGCAATTTATTGTATTATTGTTTAATCGTATTGAAACTTTTTTTTTTACATCTATCGTTTCTCGTTAAGCGTGTAACCCCTACGTGATTGCATCGGTTGAGAAAAGCTGTTTTCTAAATAAACAGGTTTCCTAGTGATTGTTTTGCATGTGCGATAAATGAGGTTAAGGAAATACTATATCGCAATTCCATGACTTCCTGTTAGCATCTTGACACAACATGCGCCTTGGTCTCACCTGCCATGTTGGTAAAGCGACTATGTGGTGTTGGTGTTACTACAAACTGCAAGCACATCCAGCATACTGGGAGACTAAAGTTTTGAGAACTGGTAAGAAATGGCCTCCACAAAAACCTTTACAATGTAGGTACATGAAGAAGAAATCTTTGTTCCTTTTGTAGGGCTTATTAAGAGTTTTTGGGAACTATTAAACACTACTGAGTTTAATTTTTTTTACATAGGGTCCCTTTGTTGAAATAAAAGCTAAAATTGGTATGTGTTTGGCACTACAGAAATATGAACTGTATTAACAAGGAAGTTCCTGCATTTCTTATTATGCACTCTAACCCCCCTCTTGGTCTAAAATGGTACAGCCCAGTAATTTTCCATGCACCACACTGCCCTTGGAAGTGGGTGGGGCTAAATGTCAATGTTATAAAGAGTTTTTATTTATTTGGATCTTCCCTGGTAGTTTCTAGAGCGGAAACATCTGCATCTTTTTTTGATTGAGCAGAAGTGATGCACTTAAAACTGACCTGTTCCCTGTAGTTGTAGTTGCTTTGCCTTATCAATCTTTCAGCCAGGGGAACCACAGTTTGGAGAATTTAGTATTTGTGAAAAGTTGGACAATTAAATAATTTTGTCTTTTTGTTGTTGTTGAGCAGTAATTACTCAATAAAGTTTTTGCAAAATAAGCTTTTTGAGACTTGCTTTTTACCTTCAGAGCACATGGTACGGCCCTGTTTCTAGTTCCCCTCCCCCACCGCACCCAGTGGCAGTGCTCACATGGTGCATTTGTAATTCATTACACAAGCAGTTTTTTTTCCTCTGCTGAAGGGGAAGTGGCCTCAAGAGGCTCCACCTACATTTTAAAAAAAGCCACTCTTAAGATGTTAGACGTTATTTACCTGCTAAACTAATTATGTTATATTGTAATATATATTTATTAAACTCTTATTCAAGTAAACAAGGAAAATCACTTATCGCTCATCTGCTGCAACATTTGTAGAGTGAACAACAATTAAAATAAAAAAGTAAAACAAGTGGAGGTTCTGCCTGTTGACTATAGTTTAAAAAAGGAGACCTCCAAATGTCCTTCACATCATGAAAAAGAGGGATTTTTGATCCTGGCAGTGGCAACTTCTACAGTCCTGGTTTATTCCGTCAGCTCAGACTGTTTGCCCCAAATATTAGAAGATCAATTAATTTACATAACTAAGACAACATTTAGTCTTAAATTGGCCTTAGTAAAGGAATATTATAACAGTTATGTTGCAAATCCATCAGTTTTCCCTTCTTTTCTTTAAAAAACCACCTTCACTAGTCTGCAGGAACTGGTTTAAACCAGATGCAGCTGGTTTCTTCACTTCAAGCTGATCATGAGGGTGATAGAAATATGGTCTCGCTTAAGTCTAAATATATCCAGTTTTTGACATCATTTGCATTTTGAAATGCTGATAATTAGAAAAAATTATAAACCGTCCAATTTAATCTTGTTTCTGTTTTTATTTATGGAAAACACTTGTTTTTATAATGTTTGTTTATGCGACGTGTTGACAATTCAAATGGAATTCGAAATAAAGTAACAAGCCATTTAGAGTCAGCCATTTTAGAAGACGTACAGGGGAAATCTTAGCTATTAAGGTCTAGTGTAAGGTCTGGGCAGAAGTCTCACATACATGTTCAGTCTTGCATACAACTTAGGTCTCCTCCCACTCCCATTGGCTTGTTCATTATGTTTCCATGTATGTGATCCACTCATTAAGTCATGCAAGCCCACTGGCTGATTTTTTTATTTTCTTAGGTAATCCCCTCTGTGCAATATTGCCCTGCTTAGCACTTTTAGCCCCTTTCAGATAAGCTCCACATGTCTAAGTCAGACTTGTCGATCACATGTCTGAATAGGTATACGAGACATCCCAGCTATCTTACCAGGTGGTCTGTTATACCGTGTCTCAGCTGGGTCTGAATTGTAAACGGTAATGCTACAGCAGAACATGGGCAGACATGTATACATCGGTTGTCTCAGTGTTCACCTAACCAAGTGTGCTTTGTAAGTTATTCCTGTTATTTTCTCATTTGTTCATAAATTAATCAAATCTGTCTATTTCCACAAGGCATCTAAATTTAGCAATTTTTTAGTTGTTATCAAGACTAAAGACAAGGCTCATCTTTTCATGTCAGTCTTGAAGTATAATTTGCAGTGTGAGGAGGGAAAAAAGGACAAAAATTGTAATAAAAAACAGCACTAATCTTTAGTTAAATGAAGAAAAATCCATATTTTCGCAAATTTCAGTGTATCAGCATTTTTGTATGTCTGCAGTCTGTCTTTATTAGAAAGTTTATTAGAAACTTGACAGGGCCAATTTCCATAATATATTTAATCATTGGCACTATTCGTGAATGTCTGAATTTTCATGTATGAACAAGCCTAACAGAAAACCTTTTAAAACTTACACTCCTGAAAATTTGTAGAAAATGTAATGACAGCCTGCACCTGAAATCTTCCTCAGTTGCTCTTTTTTTTCTTCTTTACAACTGCCTTGCACAGTGATCCAGTGCAGGGCTTGACATAAAACTGGCTTGCTGGCCCCTGCACGTACAAATAAACAGTAACACATAACGTAAAATCTGGTGTATTTGACACACTTTTAATACATTTTTATTTTATCTACAAAGTTGGCTGCATCATGTACTGATGAAACCAATATACCTGTATAAAATGCTGACACACACGCCTCCATTACTGAGAGTGCAGTCACCACCATTAGGTTGCACGTGACCGGAAATGTCCAGTCCTGTGAGTATACATATGGACGCAGACCAGGCTAAGAGAGGCTAGAAACAATTTAACTTAATGTCACCCCCCCCTGTAATGTTGGGGGGCTCTAAGGAGGCAAGACATGATGTAAAAAGGACACTGGAAATTCAAGATATTGGAAACGGCAACCGAGTCTCTACTGTATACTTTTTGGATTGATATTGTTGGTATGTGTGTCGTGAAATTGGGTGTACCGGTATTGACGGTGCCCACGAGCGAGGGAAAAGGACATACTGACTAACTGGTGAGGCGAATTTCCTTGCTGCGTGGAATCGGCTCACCGCAACTTTGTGCAAATACTTTACAAGGGGTAGTGGAAAATCCTGTCAAATTTGGAGTGAATCATTGAGCTGTTTGCGTTTGTACGTGCAACTCGTGGAATTTTGTGCATGTGTGAAAGCAGTGTGTGTAATAACTAAATGAAGCCATCACTATAATAGTCTGCTTATGCCACTGATGTTTGGATATGAAAAACTATTTTCCCCATTCATTGGGAGACTCTTGAGTTAGACACTAGGGTTGGTAGAATACATAGACAGTTCAGAGTGCATATACTTATTGGCAGTAGGCGCCTGTAGATCAGTTTGGTGTAAACAGTGCATCTTTTTGGCCGGACAGCGACGGACAAAACCCAGCAGTCTGTTTTCTTCGCAGCTTGTTCTTTGTTTGCAGTTTGGTGTGTACCAGCCTTAAGTTGGTTGGACAAAAAACTAGAAAGGAACCTCACTTTTAGGATTTGGTTGGTGTGGTGACATGACTATTCTTTTAACAATTGCACGTCCTGCAATGATCACTGCAAATGATACATCTTGGTGGTTCTACTTAAACATTACCCTCTGCCCATTTTGGCTTACATATTGCAAGATGGGATATTTTAGTCCCTCTAAGTGTTAGGGCTGGAGAATCACCAGAGATACAGTATTATCACGATACTCGAGACGTGATACGTTTCTATTGCGATTTTTAACATTTTGCGATATGCTGAGAATTGCGATACAATATATTGCAGCCTAATTGAACTTAAACATGAATTTTTAACAATGCAACTTGTTCAAAATGTGCAACCCCTTCAGCAGTTAAAAAATAAAAAAAGCATAATCTAAAATTTCATATAAAAATATCAATACTTGGCAGCCATGACACGATATAATATCGCCACACAAAATATCGCGAAACTATACTGTATTGAAGTTTTACCCCAACTCTGCTAAGTATAGACGGTAGGAGAGCAGCACAACTCCAGTCAGTGGGCTGCTTTGCCATAACTGCTCCAGCAGCTCAGAGCAAAGCAGTGTTGGGTCTTCATTGTGGTTTTAGTCGAGTGTTTTGAAATTAGACAGATGCTCTATGAGATCCCTTTTCTGACATCCTGTCCGGTTTGATCTGCTCTGTTCAGCTTGGCATGTGCTTGCAGCGAGCTCCTTCGAAAATCGACATGCCGTGTATGTGGACCGGGGCATAGCGGAGTGTAGCTAGCATGCTCCAGAGACAGATCAGGGTGCATGCAGTGGAAACACGAGCATTCA